AGGCGGGGCTGGGCTGCGGCGGCGGCGGCTGCTGCTGCTGTGGCGCGGCGGCGGCTGTGGCGGCGGCGCAGCGGCGGCTCCCGGGCGCGAGCGGCGGGGGGGCGCGGCGCGGGCCGGCCGGGGGCGCCCGCCGGGGAGCGGTGCGCAGGCGGCGGGCGGCAGGGGCCGGCCGCTGCCGGGCCCGGCTGCGCGGGCCGGGGCGAGGGGGCGCTGTGCGGCGGCGGCGCGGCGGCCGCGCGGGGCGCCGGCGGGGCGGCGGCGGCGACGGGCGCGGGCGGTGGCGGCGGGCGGGCGTGGGGCGGCGGCGCGGCGGGCGGCGGCGGGCCCCGCGGGGCGCGCGGCGGGGCCGGCGGGGTGCTCGCGCCGGGGCCGGCTGGACGCGCGCGCGTTGCGGTACAGATGCTCCCCTTGTAGCTGACCCGGAGCACGGCGCGTGGCTGTGGATCCAGAAAAAAAAAAAAAAAAAGAAAAGAAAATCCATGGGGGCACAGGCACACCCCTAAAACTCAGAAAACTCCTTGCCACACTTCTCATTGATGGAGACCCGGATTTCTTCTTCCTCATAGTCGTCAAAGTTACTCGTATCCCCAGGGCCTTTAAACTTTGGTATGAAGGGAGCTTCCACCTGGAGAGGGATCAAGAATCACCCAGACCTCAGCATTCAACATAATCATTATTACAACAATAAATGCGAATGGCCTAACATTCAAGAGATATTTACTCTGACTCAGGCCTGTGCTTACCATTAGGTTATGGATTCCTCTTAACAGCCTGAAACTCTTAATGTAGCCAACTCATCAAAGGGGAAATTATTTCCCAGAGAGGCATCTGCTGCACAAGGTCATGGAATGGCCAAATGACCCCAGAATCCCATTTCTAGACCCCACTGCTCTAAGCTCTCTACTCTAGGTTGCTCCTGAACCTGTGTTCTCTTCTCTTTCTCTCTATTGGCTGTCCTCCCTGACTCGCGGCTTGCTCCCAAACCCTCAGCAGCTTAAGGAGGGGAGACCCACCTTCCTCTGGTAGATGGCGATCCAGTCAGTCGTGGCAAACCACTTGTGGTTCTTGATATCATTGACCCCATTCTTGAGGTTCCCAAAGCGCTTGGTAAGATCTACCTGCAGGAGGTTCCGCAGCAGGTCCTTCAAGTCAGAGCTGAAGTGGGAAGGGAACCGCACCTGGAGGAAGGGGTACAAGGACAGGGTGGGAAGCTGGTCTGGAACTTGGGGAGCCCATGAGGCTTCTTTCTCCATCCAACAGTCCTACTGGGTGGGGGCCTCCAAAGCTGAGTGCCTGCTGGCATCCTGTAAAACAGCTCCTTGAGCCTACACTACAGTTTCCAATTTAGGAAGTGATACTGTGGCCTGAGAATCTGCATTTCTTTAAAAACTTTAAAAATTCAAGAGCTAGTTATTTTAAGTTTTTGTAGAGACAGGGTCTCACTATATTGCCCAGGCTGGTCTAGAACTCTTAGGCTCAACCGATCCTCCTGCTTTGGCCTCCCAAAGTACTGGGATTATAGGCATGAGCCACCGCACCCAGCAAGAATCTGCATTAAAAAAAAAAAAAAAAAAAGTATCACTCTTTAGCCCAGGCTGGAGTGCAGTGGTGCGATCTGGACTCACTGCAATCTCCGCCTCCTGGGTTCAAGGAATTCTCCTGTCTCAGCCTCCTAAGTAGCTGGGATCACAGGCTCACGCCACGACACCTGGCTAATTTTTGTATTTTTAGTAGAGACAGGGTTTCACCATATTGATCAGGCTGGTCTTGAACTCCTGACCTCAGGTGATCCACCTGCGTTGGCCTCCCAAGGTGTTGGGATTACAGCTGTGAGCTACCGTGCCTGGCCCAATAATCTGCATTTCTAACAAATTCCCCAGCAACGGTGATGCTGGAAAGGGGTCCCCTTTAAGAACCATTGCTCTAAGGCAAGTGCTATGATGATTTCCATTTCAGAGAAGGGGAAACTGAGGCTTGGAAGGGTTAAACAGCTGTTCCAAGGTCACATGGAGGCATGGGATGGGGCAATTCCATCTCAGGTCTACTGGACTCTAGAACTTGTATTCTCAGCTGCTGCTGCTGCCGCTGCTGCTGAAGGCATCTCTGCTGGGGTTCAGAGACTTCTGAAATATTCATGCTTATGACAAACTTTTTCTCTCCTCTCTTTCTGCATAGCTAAGGCTCTTCCATTCTTTAAAGCCTAGCTCAACTCTTCTTGAAAGTTTTCCCCATACGCTCTGAGCCCACAGCCTTGTATGCAAGTCATCACTGGAGTTATAGTTGCAAGAAACGACTTTTTGTTCCTGCTGTGCCTCTTACACGCTGTGTGACCTTGGCCATGGCCCTTAACCTCTTTGGGCCTGTGCATGCCTCTCAGATGTGGGGCAGATATCCCAGGGCTGCACGAGGGAGATAATACCACTGAGGGTGTGGGGGAACTAGAAAATGCTACAAAGAAGGGAGTCATGTGCATCTTCTCCTATGGGATCTTCTGTGATTTTTTTCTTTCTTTTTTTTTTTTTCCACCCGGGGCCATTTTTTTTTCTTTCTTTTTTTTTTTTTTTTTCTGAGATGGAGTCTTGCTCTGTTGCCCAGGCTAGAGTGCAGTGGCGCAATCTCACCTCACTGCAACCTCTGCCTCCTGAGTAGCTGGGATTACAGGCATATGCCACCACACCCGGCTAATTTTTGTATTTTTAGTAGAGACAGGGTTTCAGCGTGTTGGTCAGGCTTGTCTTAAACTCCTGACCTCGTGATCCGCCCGCCTCGGCCTCCCAAAGTGCTGGGATTACAGGCGTGAGCCACCATGCCCGGCCTACTCTGGGCCATTTTATTGGCAGTTTCTATTCCACCCATGGCAGATGCCTCATCTTTCCTTTTTTTTGAGATGGAGTCTTGCTCTGTCGCCCAGACTGGAGTGCAATGGCGTGATCTCGGCTCACTGCAACCTCCGTCTCCTGGGTTGAAGCAATTCTTTGGCCTCAGCCTCCCAAGTAGCTGGGATTACAGGTGCCTGCTACCATGCCCAGCTAATTTTTGTATTTTTAGTAGAGATGGGGTTTCACTATGTTGGCCAGGCTGGTCTTGAACTCCGGACCTCGTGATCCACCTGCCTCAGCCTCCCGAAGTGCTGGGATTACAGGCATGAACCATCGTGCCAGGCCTTCATCTTTCCCTTTTAGTGATGCTATGTGTCCAGCCGGGCACCCCACTTGCCTGAATTTTTTTAAAAGACTGTGTCTGGCTCTGTGACCCAGGCTAGTTTGCAGTGGCACAGTCACAGCTCACTGCAGCCTTGAACTTCTGGGCTCAAGCGATCCTCCTGCCTCAGCTTCCTGATGAGCTGGGAATACAGGGGTGCACCATCACACCCAGCTAATTTTTAGCTTTTTTTTTTTTTTAAAGAGATGGGGTCTGGCTATGTTACCCAGGCTGGTCTGGAACTGCTGGCCTCAAGCCTCCACTTCCCAAGGTGCTGGGATTACAGGCGTGAGCCATTGCACCCAAATGCAAAGTTTCAAAGCCAATCAGTGGCAGAGCTGGGACTGGGGTCCGGACTGGGGCCCAGGCTGAGCCTGAGGACGCTCCCACCACAGTGTCGTGACTCTGGGCCGACCAAAAGCTCCTGTGTAGGAGATGCTGGACCAAGTCGGGGGATGGTCGGGTCTTGCCAGCAAGGTGGTTGAGCTGAGGGCACAGGTGGGGTCCCCAACCTCTCTCCTGCTCTTAGTGCCTACGATGATTACCTACTCACCAAAGTGTGATCTTGGCCAAGACACATCCCTTTTCCCAGCCTGTTTCCTCACCTCTCCTGCAGAGGGTGCCACCATCTCAGGGTGTGACTGATGGGGGGATTCTAGGGCCTGGTGGATGGCGGGCACTTTGCGCCTGTCATAGATGTGAGCTGAGATGGTTTCAGCACCCCTCATCCGAACCCTCAGAGTTGGGCAAGTCTGGGTTTGGGAGAGGAAGCATGGGCTGTAAACGCTAAGTGAGAGCACTCCTTGGTGAGGCTGCGGACAGCACCTGGGAACAGGAACCAAATACACTGGTTTTTCTGCCTTGGAATTTGCGAAAACTCACACTAACTGGGACAAGGAGTGACGAAGAGGGTTGCCTGGCAGGGCGGTTTGTGTTCTGCGGCCAAGAAGTTCCTGTGAGGCTTGGGGTTTTGGAAGCTCTTGGGATTCTGGAACCGCGGGGTTGGGGCTGGACAGTGAGGGGGCCTCAAGGTGTTGGCCTCAGTGTGGCCGGTGCGTCCAGCTTCACCACCTGGCCTGACTTAAGGAACTTCTAGATTATTCTGACAACAAGCAGGGCTCCCCAGGGAGTAGGATGAGTGAGCAGGGGAGGGTCTGTTTCTTCCAGGGCTGTGTCCCCGCAGCCGGACCTCACCTTCCCAGAGACGATCTTCTCATAGATCTGGATGGGCTGGTCTGCGAAGAAGGGCGGGTAGCCAGCGGCCATTTCATAGATAAGAACCCCCAGGGCCCACCAGTCCACAGCCTTGTTGTAGCCCTGGAGCAAGATGGGGGGGCACAGGGTGAGGAGGGGGCGAGCAGGAGAGCAGAGCCGGCCTCAGGGGAAGGGGAGGGCTGGGGAGGCGCCTACTTTGCTCAGGATAATCTCAGGGGCCAGATACTCAGGGGTGCCACACAAGGTCCAAGTGCGGCCCTTCACGCGCTTGGCGAAACCGAAGTCTGTCACCTGTGGGCACAAGAACAGGCAGTTGGCAGGAAGGGAGGGTCCAGGCCACGGCTTCCCCAGGGCTGCCCCTCGCCCGGCCTGGTAGGCACCTGAATGTATCCCTGCTGGTCAATGAGCAGATTCTCCGGCTTCAGGTCCCTGTAGATGAGATCCAGCGAGTGCAGATACTCGAAGGTCAGGACGATCTGGGCCGCGTAGAAACGGGCATGGGGCTCGCTGATGGGGACAGATGGAGAGGTGAATGTCAGTGGCCATGCCCCAAAATGGTCCAGCAGGTGGCCCTGCAGAGCCTTCCCCAGAGGAAGACACCTCCAGTCCAGCTGTCAGAAATGCGAGGCACCTGATTCTTAGATAGCCCGACATGGGAAATAGCCTGTAGGTCCACCCACAGGAGAATGGAATCACAGACTGAGCTATAGTCATATAATGGAATTCCACTCACCACCACCACTGCCAACAGGACAGCCCATGCATCCACTCAACAACGTGGCTGCATTTCAAACTGATTATGTTAAAGCAAAAGAAGACACAAAAGAACATGAATGATTCCATTTATATCATGTCCACGCCCAGACAAAACAAAGGCACGGTGTTTGAAGTCAGAAAGGACAACTGCCTTTGGCGGGGAGGTGACGTGTCAAGAGAGGGATTTGGCCCGGCGCGGTGTCTCATCCCTGTAATCCCAGCATTTTGGAGGGTCGAGGTGGGAGGATCACTTGAGCCCAGGAGTTCGAGACCAACCTGGGTAACATAGGCAAGATCTCACCTCTGTGTGTATGCAGAGATGTGTGTGTGTGTGTGTGTATATATATATATTTTTTTTTTTTTTAGTATTTTTTTTGAGATGGAGTCTTGCTCTGTCATCCAGGCTGGAGTGCACTGGCACGATCTTGGCTCACTGCAACCTCTTCCTCCCAGGTTCACTCCATTCTCCTGCCTCAGCCCCCCGAGTAGCTGGGAATACAGGTGCCCACCACCACGCCCTGCTAATTATTTTTTTTTGTATTTTTAGTAGAGATGGGGTTTCACCGTCTTAGCCAGGATGGTCTGGATCTCCTGACCTCGTGATCCGCCTGCCTCAGCCTCCCAAAGTGCTGGGATTACAGGCGTGAGCCACTGCACCCGGCCTCCACCTCTGTATATTATTGAAAAAAAAAAAAAAAAAAAAAAAAAAAAAAAAAAAAGCCTCCACCTCTGTATATTATTGAAAAAAAAAAAAAAAAAAAGAAGAAGAAGAAGAAAGGGATTCAAGGGAATTTTCTGGGGTGATAGAAAAGTTCCATATACTGTTTTAGGTGGAGGTTAGGTAACTGTATACAACTGTCAAAATTTGTGGCATGGAACATTGAAGAACTGAGCATTTTATTGTATGTAAAGTGAATCTATAGTTTTCTATCTAAAATACAACTACAAGGCCAGCATGGTGGCTCATGCCTGTAATCCCAGCACTTTAGAGGCCGAGGGGGACAGATCACCTAAGGTCAGAAGATTGAGACCAGCCTGGCCAACATGGTGAAACCCCATCTCTACTAAAAATATAAAAATTAGCCAGGCAAGGGGGCGTGCGCCTGTAATCCCAGCTACTTGGGAGGCTGAGACAGAAGAATCACTTGAATCCAGGAGGTGAAGGTTGCACGGAGCCGAGATCACGCCACTGCACTCCAGTCTGGGTGACAAGACTGAAACTCCATCTCAAAAAATAAAATAAAAGTACATATGTAAACTTATAAGTTAATAAGACAAATTTTTAAGCTAAAAATTTTTTTTTGTTTGAACAGGGTCTCTGTTACCCATTCTGAAGTGCAGCAGCGTGATCATGGCTCATGCAGACTTTTTTTTTTTCCTTTTTATTTTGTTGAGATGGGGTTCTTGCGTCTGTATCCAGGCTGGCGAGTGCACTGCACGATTTGGCCTCCTGCAACTCGCCTCTTCCTCCCAGGTTCTACTCCATTTCTCCGGCTCAGCCC